TCAAACCCACAATGAGATACTACCTCACCCATTAGGAAGGCTACTATCAACCAAACAGAAAATAACAGGTATTGGTAAAGATGTGGAGAAATTGAAACCCTTGGGCAATGTTGGTGGGAATGTAAAATGGTATAGCTACTATCTGGAAAACAGTATGGCAGTTCCCCCAAAAAATTAAACTTAGAATTACCATATAGTCTAGTAATTTCACTTCTAGGTATATACCCCAAATAATTGAAAGTAGAGTTTCAGAGATATTTGTACACCCGTTTTATGGCAGTATTATATACAGTAGCTAAAGACTAGCAGCAGCCCAAATGTCCATGGATGGCTAAATTGATAAACAAAATGTAGTATATGCATACAACGAAGTATTATTGAGCTTACAAAAGAGGAAATTCTGACACGTGCTACAACATGGATGTACCTTGAAGACAATATGTTAAGTGAAATAAGCCAATCACAAATAGACAAATTCTGTATGAGTCCACTTATATGAGGTATCTAGCATATTCACAGAGACAGAAAATAGAATGGTGGTTGCCATGGGCTGGGGGTAGGGGAGATAGGGAGTTATTGTTTAATGGGTATAGAATTTCAGTTTTGCAAGGTGAAAATATTCTGGAGACTGACTGCACAACCGTGGGCATATACTGAACACTACACTCAATTGTTAAGATGGTAAGTTTTACGTTATGAGTATTGTATCACAATTAACAAACATTTTTAAACACTTGATTAATTTAACTGTTATGTTTAGAAGCAAAGTTTTAAGAAAAAGATATGAAGTACTAATACATACTATAACATGAATGAACCTTGAAAACATTATGCTAAGTAAACTAAGCTAATTATGGGCCGAGAGTGGTAGCTCAAGCCTGTAATCCCAGTGACTTGAGAGACCAAGGTGAAAGGGTTGCTTGAGCCCAGGATTTTGCAGCTACAATGAGCTATGATCACACCATTGCACTCCACCCTGGACAACAGAGTCTGTCTTAACTTGCCTCTTAAAAAAATTTTTTTTTAAATCATGCAAACCATAACCAAAAGAGAGCTGGAGTGAGTATATTTTTGCCTTTCCCAGTGTGTGAAATAAATGGCATCATACAACCTTTTGTTTCTTTCACTTAGCACTTGAGTCATCAGTGTTGTTTTGGCCATTAAAAATATACTACTATGAATATATACAGGATTTTGTATAAACATGGTTTTTATTCTTTAGGATAAGTGCCTCGAGGTGGGATTGCTGGGACACGTGATAAACATATGTTTAACTTTATAAGAAACTGTTTGAGTGGCTATGCTCTTTTGAATTCTCACAAGCAGCTACGAGAGCTCCTGTGTCTCTGCATTCTCATCAGCACAATGTAGTAATAGTATTTTTAAATTTTAGTCATTGTCATAGATATGTAATAATTTATCATTTTGACTTTAATTTGCATTTCCCTTAGTGACTAATGTTGTTGAATATCTTTTCATGTGCTTATTTGTCATTTATAAATCTTCTTTTGTGAAGTGTCTTCACATATTTTGTCTGTTGCTTTAACTTTTTATTTTGAGATAATTATAGGTTCTCTGGTAGTTGCACATATAGTACAAAGAGATCCATGTGTCTTTCACCCAGCTCCCTCAGCAGTGACATACAGCTACAGTACAATATTGTAGGGCCAGATTGTCTCCCTCCACAAATTCATATGTTGAAGCCCTAACCCCCAGTACCTCAGAATGCGACTGTATTTGGTGGCAGGATCTTTAAAGAGATTATTAAAGCAAAATAGGGTCAAATGAGTAGACCCTAATCCAAGGACGGGTGTCTTTATAAGAGATTAGATGCCAGGCATAGTGGCTCACACCTTTAATCCCAGCATTTTGGGAGACCAACACAGGAGGATCACTTGACCAACATGAGTTCAAGACCAGCACAGGCAACAAAGTGAGACCCAGTCTCTACAAACAATTTAAAAATTAACCAGGTATGGTGGCATATGCCTCCAGTCCCAGCTACTTACTTGGGGGGCTGAGGCAGGAGGATCAGTTGAGTCCAGGAGTTGGAGGCTGCAGTGAACTATGATTGCACCACTGTACTCCAGCCTGGGTGACAGAGTGAGACTGTTACCCAGGAAGGTGATTAGGACACAAATACACACAGAAGGAAGGCCAGGTGAAAACATACAGAAGGCAGCCATCTACAAGCCTAAGAGAGAGACTTCAGGAGAAATCAATCTGCTGACAATTTGAGTTTGGACCTTCAGCCTCCAGTACGGTGAGAAAATAAATTTCTGTTGTTTAAGCCATGCAGTCTGTGATATTTTGTTATGGCAGTCCTAGCTAACTGACACAAATTTTTTTTTCTTTTTTTCTTTTTTTGAGTTGGAGTCTCCCTCTGTCGCCCAGACTGGAGTGCAGTGGCCGCTCCCGGCCACTGCAGCCTCGACCTGCTGGGCTCCGGCGATCCTTCCTCCTCAACCTTCCGAGTAGCCGGAATTACAGGCGCGCGCTACCATGCCCAGCTGATTTTTTTATTTATTGTAGAGATGAGGTCTCTCCAAGTAGCCCAGGCGGGTCTCGAGCCCGCAGGCTCAGGCAATCCACTCACAGCCTCCCAAAGCATGGGATTACAGGCTGAGCCACCGAGCCCGGCTTGACACAAATATTTAAATGAGGAAACTGACACTGGTACATTACGTTATCTAGGTTACAGACTCTGTTCAGTTTTACCATCTTAAAAAACGATTCATTTGTGTGTGTTATGTATAGTTCCATGCAATTTTATCCTTTGTATAGATTTGTGTGGCCACCATCACAATTAAGATATAGAACTGCTCCATCACCACAAAAGACTCCCGTAGGTTACATTTTTTGTATTTGTACCTCATACCACTTCCCTCCCCCATTCCCTTGGCAACTACTAATTTCTATCTTATTATTTTAAGAAAGTTATAAGAATGGAAAAATGAAGCATGTAATCTTTTGAGATTGGCTTTTTTTCGCTAAGCATAATGCTTTGGCATTCATCAAGGCTGTTGCATGCATCAATAGTTCATATCTTTTTACTGCCGAGTAATATTGCACTATAAGGATGTTCTAGAGTTTGTTCAACCATTCACTCATTAAAGGACGTTTGAGTTGTTGCCAATATTTTGCTATTATAAGCAGAGCTAATTCAAACATTTAAGAACAGGTTTTTGTGTGAATATAAGTTTTCATTTTTCTGGGAGAAATGGCCAAAAGTGTGATCACTGGATTGTACGGTAAGTGTATGTTTAGTTTTGTAAGAAACTGCCAGACTATCTGTATCATTTACATTCTCATTAGTGATGTGTAAGAGCTCCAACTTCTCTGCATACTCATCAGTACTTGGTGTTATCATTACTTGTTATTTTAACTATTCATTACACACCTACTTTAGCTATTCTAATAGATGTACAGTGAAATATCATAGTATTAATTTGCATTTCCTCATTGGCTAATAATGTTGGACATCTTTTCATGTGTTCATTTGTCATTTGTATCTCCTCTTTGGTGAAATATCTGCTCATGTCTTTTGTCCATTGTATAATTGGATTGTTTTTATTTTACTTAATTTTTTAATTTTTAAAATTAAAAAACATTTTATTAATACTTAAAAAAATAGAAATAGGGTTGCGTCATATTGCCCAGGCAGGCTGGTCTAGAACTCATGGCCTCAAGCCATCTTTCCTCCTTGGCCTCTTAAAGTGCTGGGATTATAGACATGAGCCACCATACCCAGCCTGTTTTTATTTATTTTTAACTGTTGAGTTTTGAGAATTATTTTACCCATTATAAAAATCGAGTCCTAAAAAAAAGAAAAGCTGGGCATGGTGGCTCATGCCTGTAATCCCAATACTTTAGGAGGCAGAGGCAAGAGGATTGCCTGAACCCAGGGGCTCAAGACCAGACTGGGCAACTTGACAAGACCTCATCTCTACAATAAATAGAAAAATTAGGCCAGGGGGGGGTGGCGTGCGCCTATAGTTACAGCTACTTGAACGACTGAGGTGGATGGATCACCTGAGCCCAGCAGGTTGAGTCCTTGGTGGCCGTGAGTGTGCCACTGCACTCCAGCATGGGTGACAGAGTGAGACCCAGACTCAAAAAAACAAAAAATGGAGCCAGGCATGGTGGCTCACACCTATAATCCCAGCACTTTGGAGGCTGAGGCAAAAGGATTGCCTGAGCCCGTGGGTTCAAGACCAGCCTGGGCAACATGGTGAGACCTCATCTCTACAATAAATCTAAAAATTAGCTGGGCCTGGTGGTGCATGTCTGCAGTTCCAGCTACTTAGAAGGTTGAGGCAGAAGGATCGCCTGAGCGCAGCAGGTTGAGGCTGTGGTGACCATAAGAGTGTGTGTGCCACTGCACTCCTGCCTGGGTGACAGAGTGCGACTCTGACTCAAAAAAAAAAAAAAAAATTGAGTCCTTTTGTTTTCTTAAGTTTTGAGAGTTGGATACAAGTTCTTTGTCAGATATGTGACTTGCAAATATTTTCTTCCAGTCGATGACTTGTCTTTTTATTCTCTCTCTCTCTCAAAGCAAAAAAAGGGGGCTTGTTTTTTTTGTTGTCTTTTTTTTTAAACTATTTGAAGTCCTTTAATTGCCAGTGCCTCTTTGGGTAGTATCTGGAGGATCGTGCTTAATCCTGCAACTGACGCATTTTCCCACCTTCTCATAATTTTGTTTGCAAACCACCTAAAATTCTTATTTCCCCATGTCTTTGACACGTGCCATGTGGACCCTATGCAGTCATCACAAGGACGATGTTGGAAAGTGGGAGCATCTGTGTGGCTCTTAACAGGGGTTATTTTTTCCTTCTGTTTTCAAATCACTCCCAACAGTCTCTAGCGACATGGTCATGGCTGCCTGCAGCATGTCCTCTTCGCTCCGCGCATCCCCTGCCGGGCTGCTCTCCAGGGCTCCTGGGCATGCGGTTGGCCTGTCCCACAGGTGGGGAACTCGGTCCTGGGGGACCCACCTGCTGTTGCTGCTTTTTAAAGTAGGCTTCTCTTCTCTTCCGCAGCTCTTGTGAAGTAAGATTTGTACCTGACGTCTGTGGAACATCTGGAGATATATTCCTGGAACTAACTTGCATACTCAGCTGAATGGCCCTGTGGAGATCCGCTTCCTTTCTCATCTTCCATGTCCATTTCTTGGCGACTCAGTGCCAAAGCCCTCTGCAAGTCCTCCTCATCTTGGTCTGCCACGCCCGAGCCTTCATTTGCTCCAAAGATGCGTTCCAGGTCTGTCTTATGGACTCTCTGCTCTTTCAGCTGTGCCAGTTCCTCTCCAATGAGCTTTGGCCTCTGCATCTGCTGGACCCTGACCATCTGCAGGAGCTGGTTGGCCTCACAGTCGGGTAGGTCGCCCTTAACAACAAATATGGAGTAGCCTTCCTGCTGTAATTGCACCAGGAATAGTGCAAGGTATGTATCTGATATTAATTCGGGACCCGTCAAGAGAGAATTCAAGTTAAACCACTGTTTTCCTAATTTTCTAACTGTAAACCAGTGCTCTTTATAATTGCATATAAATGATCTTTCATTTATAGGGTTGATCCTGAGCCTCTGATACTCTGGACTGTTGAAGAGAATGAGTTCTAAGCCCCAAACTTTCAAGGCATTGCTTATCACCTGAATAGAGAAAAAGCCACTGTCATCCATATTTCCAGAAGGCTGCTGCAGAAACGTCCGGTAATCTTTGCTGGTTACACCCCGCTCCGCCATCCTCATCTGCTCCTCCTCGTCCAGCTGGTGTGTGATGGAGGACAGCTCCACGGGGCTGAAGTACTCCCCCTGCAGCAGGTTGTTCAGGCAGTGCTGCGCGCACAGCGAGCCTTCTTGTTTCTCGTGAAAGATGGACTCCATGTTTGTCTCAGGGGGCTTGTTCTATTTGAGTGATTGGTTTATGTAATTGCTGAGGGCACCGAGTACAGACAAGGAGGAGGAGTTTTATTTCATGGTCTTCCTTGGACGGTCTTGTGATCCTTCTTGGGCTGGTGGTACTCTTGCACTTGCAGGCTTCCATGTACTTAGGCCTGCAGGCCTCAGCATGGCTGGTGAGGAGCTTCTTGCCAGCCTTGCCTGTCTTCAGCCTGTGGATGGGTCCATGAGAATTCACTTGTTTTTGAACACGTTCTCCTTCACCTTCAGGTACAGGCTGTGATATGTGTGGTGGTGAATCCTCCTAGGTACATGGTATCTTCTGAGCAACTGGTACAGAATTCTCATCCTCTTCATCCTGGTTACTTTCTTTGGCATTCAAGTATTGGCAGTACCCTTTCACTTACCCATGTCCATATGTGCTCCCTTCTAGCAGAACAGTGTATTTTTCTTGCATCGTGCCCAGGAAGGGAGTCACAGGTTTGGGATGATCAGCTTGTCTTTGATCAGTTTTTGGGTCTGGTGGCAGAAGTTGACATTAATGATTTCATTGGTGTCAGACTTTCTTTTTTCCCTTGCAGAGAACCCTGGAGGTGAGCCTTTTCTGAAGGCTGAACATACAGCTGCTGCTACTGAAAGGAAATAATCTTTTTTTTTTTAGTCAGGATCTCACTCTGTCACCCAGGCTACAGTGGCACAATCATGGCTCACCGCAGCCTCAAACTTCTGGACTCAACCAATCCTCCTGCCTTATCCTCCTGAGTAGCTGGAACTATAGGTGTGCACCACAATGTCTGGCTAATTTTTTTGATTTTGTATAGAGATGTGGTCTCCCTATGTTACCTAGGCTAGTCTTGAACTCCTGGGTTCAAGTAATCCTCCCGCCTTGGCCTCCCAGAGTGCTGAGATTACAGGCATGAGCCACCATGCCCGGCCAAGAACTTTTTTATTCTCTTAATAGTACAGAAGTTTAAAATTTTGATAAAGTTAAATTTATCCATTTTTTCTTTTATAGATGGTGCTTTTTGTGTCCTATCTGAAAGCTTTTTCAGATCTTTCAAAGATCCTGAAGATTTTCTTTTATGTTTTCTTCTATGAGTTTCATAGTTTTATAAATTAACTTAGGTTTATAATCCCCTTTAAGTTAATTTTTATGTATGTGAAATATAGGACTAGGTTTCCTTTGCATATGGAAGTCCAGTTGTTCCAGTACCTTTTGTTGAAAGACTACTTTCTTCTTCTTTGAATTGTCTTTATATCTTTATCAAAAATCAGTTGATCATATTTGTGTGGGTGAATTTCTGAAAGTTTTAGTCTATTGCATTGGTGTTTAGCTTTCCTTTCACCAATACCACACTGTCTTGACTACTGTAGCTTTGTGATACATCTCAAAACTGGGTAATGCATACATACAAAGGGCTGAAACCCAACCCTTACCTTATCATCATATAAAAAATTAACACAAGATGGATCAACATTCTAAACTGAAGAGCTAACACTATAAAACTCCTAGAATAAGAAAACAAGGGAACATCTTTATGACGTTGGATTTGTCAATTATTTATTGGATATGACACCAACAAGAGAAAAAATAGATAAGCTGGACTTCATCAAAATTAAAACTTTAGTGCTCCAAAAAACACAATCAACAGAGTGAAAAGACAACCCACAGAATGGTAGAAAATATTTGTAGAAATTTAAGTATCCAGAATATGTAAAGAGTTTATTCAACTCAGCAACACCAAAAAAACCCCAAAAAGACTGATTCAAAAATGGACAAAGTATTTTCATAGACATTTCCTCAGAGAAGATATACAAATGCTCAATAAGCACATGAAAAGACGCTCAACATCATTAGTCATTAGGGAAATGCAAATGAAAACCACAATGAGAAACTCACTAGGATGGTTAATGGCAACAAAATTGAAAACAAAGAGTGTTGGTTATGAGTGGGGAAATCAAAACCTTTGTGCATTTCTGGAATGTATAATGTTGCAGCTGCTGTGAAAGACAGTTTAGTGGTTCCTCAAAAAGTTAAGCAGATAATTACCACATGACCTAGTAATTTCACTCCTCAATACATCCAAAAGAATTGAAAGCAAGAACTCAAACAGACACTTGTACACCAAATGTTCATAGCAGGATTATTCACAATAGCCAAAAGGTGAAAAACAACCCAACAAACTGTAGTATACAACAGAATACTACTCAGAAATAGAAAGGAATGACATTCTGATACAAGCTATATAGCAAGGGTGAACTTTGTAATCATCATGCTAGGTGAAATAAACCAGATACAGAAAGATTCATCTGGTTTAACAAACTGGCTAATATCCTGCACAGTTAATCAAAGACAAAAAGCAGAAACTGAGAGAAAAGTGGGTTTAATTTTTGCAACCATGTTACAGGGAAAATGGTTGGCATTATTACCAAAGACCCACTTAAAGCAACACAAACTCATCCCAGTGTTTATATCAAGATTCATAGCCCTTCACCAACCCCGAGTTCAAAGCCTATGTGCAGTTTCAGCATGACTTAGACATTTTTGACCACGAAAGTTTTTTGGTCATGCTGACATTTTTAGATAACATTCTGGAATTTACAACTTTTTAAGTTTTCCAGAGGAAAGGGTAGACAATTGCAACATTTGGAAGGAAGGGAAAGTCACAACATTTAAAAGTATAGCTTTAAATTGTTTTAAAACACAAGTGTAACAATCCCCTCTGTTTCCAGAGCCCTGGCCTACACCAATGTGATGTCCTTGTACTCACAGATGGAGGGGACATGAGCAATGCCCACACCCTTGTTTCAGACACATGCTTGTCAGTCTTGGACCATTCTCCATGTCTTCTATCTGGTGGTCTGGCATAACCAGCTGTTTCTTCTTTGGCATCAGCAATAGCTTACTAGATAAGATTGACTTTTCAGACCAGTCAGGCAGGGTTGGGTCAAGGGAGAAGGGGGAGTGGCCACATTTCACGAGGAGTGTGTGGAAAGGAAAAATGTGCACTTTTAAATTCAAGCAGCTTCTACTTTTAGCCCAACTCAGCCACAAAAGAAACTTTCTTAATACAAGTTTCTAATTTTTTTTTTAAATGACTGTTTTACTATAACCAAAATGACTTCTTTTCAGTCTGTAACAATTCCAGTTATTTGAGGTACCCAGATAGGCAAATTCATAGCAACAGAAAATAGAATAGAGGCTACCAGACTTGGGGGAGGGAGAGTAAGGAGTAAATAATGTTCAATAGGTTCAGAGTTTCTGTTTGGGATGATGAACATGTTCTGGAAATAGGTAGTAATGATAGTTACACAACATTGTGAATGTATTTCATGCCACTGAATTTGAATAGTACACTTAAAAATGGCTAAGTGAGCTAGGTGCAGTAGCAGAAGTCTGTTTCTCACCTATTCAAGAGACTGAGGTGGGAGGATCACTTAAGTCCAGGAGTTTGAATCTAGCCTGTGCAACACAGTGGGATCCTGTGTCTTAAAAAAATAAAAAAAGTTGGGCGACCCCCTCCAGTCCCCTCCTGCTCTGGGAGCTTTTCTGTCTTCTCAATAAATCTTGCTTTCTAAAAAAAAAAATATATGTTAAATGGCAAATTTTATCTTATTCATATTTTACCATAATAAAAAAAGTCAAAAATAAATCCCCACAAAATTGCCCAGGCTGGAGTGCAGTGGCACAATCAAAGCTGCAAACTCCTGGGCTCAAGGGATACTTTTTGCCTCAGCTTTATGAGTAGCTGAAACCACAGGTATGCACCATTATGCCTGGTCTATTTTTTAAAAATTCTTTGTAGAAATGGGATCTCACTGTGTTGCCCAGGCTGGTCTTAAACTCCTTTCAAGGAATCCTCCTGGCTCATCCTAATGAGCAGCTGGAACTACAGCTGTGCACCACCATGCCTGGTCTTTTTTTTTTTTTTTTTTTTTAAATCCTTTGTAGAGATAGGATCTCACTACATTGTCCAGGCTGATCTCAAACTCCTGAACTCAAGTGATCGTCCCACCTTGCCTTCCTAAAACTCTGGAATTATAGGCATGAGACACCATGCCTGGACGCCATATAAATTTCAGATTCACTTTGTCTATCTACAAAGACTCTTTCCAGGATTTTGACTGGAATTGCATTAAATCTATGGGTTAATTTGGGGAGAATTGACATAATTTTTTTTTGAGTTAGAGTCTCACTCTGTCCCCCAGGTTGGAGAGCAGTGGCATGCTCATGGTTAACACAGTGTAGACCTGATGGGCTCAGGAATCCTTCTGCCTCAGCCCTCCAAGTAGCCAGAACTACAGGTGTGCACTATAATGCCCGGTACTTTTAAAATTTATTGTAGAGACGAGGTCTCACCAAGTTGCCTAGGCTGGTCTCGAAAGCCTGGGCTCAGGCAATCCTCTTGCCTCGGTCTCCCAAGTGCTGGGATTACAGGTTTGAGCCACCGCACCAGGCTGATAATTGAGATCTTAACTATACTTTGTCTTCCAATCCTTGAACATGGTATGTTCTTTATTTATTTGGTCTTCCTCAATCTCTTTCATTAACATTTATAGTTTCCAGCATGCAGATCCTGGACGTCTTTTGTTATAACTAAGCATTTATGCTTAGGTTTATACCTAAATATTTTTTAAGCTATTATGGTATTGTTATGGATGGAATTGTGTCTCCCCCACCCCCAGATTCTTATGTTGAAGTCCTAACCCCCAGTACATCAGAATGTGACTGTATTTGGAGACAGAGCTTTAAAAAGGTAATTAAGGTTAAATAGGAGGGCCCTAGTCCAATATGACTGGTGTCTTTTTAAGAAGAGGGTGAGACGCTAGAGCTCTCTTTGACCCCCATGTGAGGATACAGAGAGATGGCAAACCTCTGTATGCCAAGGAGAGCAGCTTCAGGAGAAAACCAGATCTGCTAACACTTTGATGTGTGACCTCTAGACTCCAGAACTGTGAGAAGATACATTTCTGTTTTTTTAGCC